GGGCGGAGGCCGCGGCGCCTGCGCCGAGCCTGCGGCCCCAGCAATAGCGCTTCTTTTGCCCCCCCATCCTGCGCAGCCTGCTGGTGCTGTCGCGGCCGCTGGCCCGAGGTCAGGGGCGGGCGGCGCTGCCCGGGCCATGGCCGCGAGCTTGCGGCGCGGGGCCAATGTTTGCAACGCCGACATTGCGGGGCGAACGTCTCGGCCACCCGGGGCGCGAGGGGCCCCCCGAACGCGCGCCCTGGGCCCCTGCCGCCGTCGAAGGGGCGCGCGCCAACTCGGAGGGGCAGGCGCGCCCGGCGGAACCGTCTGTTGAACGGCCCCCTTCCCGCCTCGGGAGCGAATCATGGACCGGGGAACGGGGGGCACATCGTCGCGCTAGCGCGCGCAATTGCAGTTGTTTTTGTTCAAGGAAGTGCTCGCGCGCTCCGAATCCGAAGAGGCTTCGCGCGCGCGCGGAAGCCAGTCAGTTCGCGGACGAGTGGCGGCCATCGCAGCGCATCTGCGCATGCCACGGAGGTTTTTGCGGCGCGAGGCCACGCGGTGCCGCGTGGAAAGAATGCGCGCCACAAAGAACATGCTTGCCAAGCGATCTTTCAGGCGCGTCCTCAGGATGCAGCGCAGGATCTTTTTGGTCTTCCCGATCGGTAGCTTGTGCAGTTTGTAAATGTTAGGGAGCTGTTTTTGTTGTGAATGCGAGCTTCTCGTTTTGCTCCAGGGTTGCCTGCCAGAGGGCCCTCTCGTAGCGCGCGTGCTCAGGTGTGCCGATTCGGCTCTTCAGGTGACTCGAACCGTGCAGGTGCGTTGCGTTGTTTGTCCGTGATCGCAGAAGTGCGCGCAAGCGGCGTGCGCGACCTGCGTGGGCAATGTTGCTGTTATATTCGCCTTGGGGTGTGCTTCCTTTCTTCTCGTGCTTGGCGCCTGCCAGCCACGCATCTTGGATGCCAGGTTTGTTCGCGTTGTCGCGGCGCAGAACCAAGGGGGGCAGGGGGGCTAGCTCTTTCTCCAAGGCCCGGGCCCGCATGGGGTCGAAGCGGCCCTTCTGGGGCAGCAGGGGCTGCGGGGGCAAATTGGCGGCAGCTTGGTAGCTGGGTCCTCGCGCGCGTTCGCTTGTAATTTTGTGCCAGGTGCAACGTCGACTGCTTGCCGTTCGAGCGGCTCGGTTTTCCACGGAGCGCGTCTGGGCCTCAAGTATTTCGTTGAAGTTGAAGTGCAATCCAGTGAGAGGATGCGTTCCTGACTGACTGGGTCTGAGAGCATGGCGAAAGGCTTCGCGCCAGTGCGTACTTCTGGCTTGGCTCCCATAGCGTCGTCGCCAGCATGCAATGATCGCGCCGCGCTCCGTGGGGCGGCCATTTGTGAAGGAGGCAAGTGGACAAAGGCATGTCACATGCAAGTATTGCGCGCTATACGTCCAGCCCCTACCCACGCAGAGCTGCGCGTGCGTAGGCTTACTTGGATGCAGCAGTGGGTGCATGGCCCGGGTCGGTCTGCGTAGTTTCTTGGAATCGTTTGTGGCATGTTCGTAGACGACAAGTCCGCGCTGTCTAGAGCCGTCAGAGGCTTCGCGGCGAATCCATGGGCTGCGATTCCCCAGGATAAATTCAGTCGCTGCAGGTTTTCGGCGATGGCGCTGCAATCTTCGAGCGGTGCGAGACACCTGCCGGCGTGATCGCGCAGGTTGGTGAGCCGCATGATGAGCGCGGGGTCTCTGAATATAGATTCTGTGTACATGAAGACGCGCGCCAGCGAGCATTTCCAGCCGGCGAGGCGGGGCAAGCGCGGCGGGGGCCCCTATATGTGCATTGCGTTATGACCGGATGGGGAAGTGCGCGGCGCGTGTTCCCCTTACGCATCAGAGGTTTTCAGTGCGTTGCGCCTGGCGCAAAGGTTGCGCGCGTGGAAGGAGGCGCGAACTTGCGCTTAGCGTGTCAGAATGCATTCGCAGCGGAATGCATTGCCATGTATCATATGATAGTGATCTGGACAATCAGAAATTTCGGGCTGGTTGGAGTCGCAACGATGGAACTGTTGCGCTGAACGCGCGACGTTGTCCATCGTGCCCGTTGGCAGCAAATTACGTCGAGCGCGTCCGTCGCTATATTCTCCGCGCTCCTTTGGGGGCCGAGTTCCATCGGCGCCGGGCATCCCACCCGTCTCCGCACGTCGCGTCACGCGCCGTCGGTCGAACGTGATCGAGAGGTGAAAAGCGGAGTGGCAGATGGCACGGTCCCCGCGCAGATCAAGCTGTTCAAAAAGGGTGAGAATCTCGAGTCCGGATGTTGAGCACACACACACACTTCAGCTAGCGGTATTCGACAACATGCCCGAGGGGACGATTCAGACGGGCAGTCGCATGTACGCCGAGTACTTGGAGAGATTCCGACGCTCCGGCAGCCCGACGCACGCGAACGATGTGTACCGCGTGACTTTCAAGGCGAACGGAGCGACAAGGTTCCCCAGGGGCCCAGAGCAGGCGCAGGGACGCGGTCACCAAAAAGGGGGCGGACGCACACGTCGCAGAGGCGCTGGCAAGCGTCCAACTAATTGGAGTGTCTGGAGTCTAGAGATAGTGACAGGCTGGAAGGAGATGGAAATCCAGGCCGCATTGTCTCCCATCCTGCGCGCCATGGGTTTTGCGCTCAAGCCAGGCAACGCCCCTCGCGGGGGCCTAGAGACGAATATGAGCGGCTGCATGAAGAATTGCACTTGGACGGTGACGTGAACGAGGGAGATCTTGGCCTGGATGGTGCTTTTGGTTCCAGATTGGGATTTCGGCTGAGGGAACCGTGGTTGCATGGTGTATTGCAGGTCGTTGTATATGATGCGCTTCAGCGGCTGCTTGCGTAGCTGTTGAGGAATCAGTATGCGTTGGATGTGCCGATGAGCCTCTTAGGCCACTCGTGTGCAGTTGTCGTGGCAACTTCTTGGTGAACTACCTCAATCATTTGCTGCATGCTTGTACGTGTGGCTTGAGTGTGTGCAAAAGTGTGAGCAGGCATCAGCCTCAGGCTCTCGCAACTGTTGTTTTACTTGGTATTCGATTGAATCCGTCCCACTTTTTTTGAAGGGTTCGAGAACATGTCTGGCCTGACCCGTGTGGGTATTCCTGTTTGTGGTGTGATGTTCTCGGTCCACTCGTCCGAGGACTGTTCGTGTGGATGCCGTTGGGGGGCACATAATTCAGAACTTACAGGTCTGGGACTGGGTGGCTTCTTGCTGACCCAGGAGTGTGAGCGTCGAAATCGTAGCGCCGTGCCTCCGAGCACGCTCATGTTTTCAGCTTGCGAGTGGTTGCTTCAGGGGGGTGGTCACAGTAGTAATACGTTTATACATAATTGTATATATATATATATATATATATATATATTCATATATGTATACACATTTGCTTATCTTTATACATACGTACACAAACATCCAGTCATACACACACATTCGCAATTCCGGTGATCGCGGAGTCTTTTGCAGCGACGAGGCTGCGCAAGTCAAGCAGGCACGCAAACACAGACACGCGACGTACGGTTCTTGACCAGTTTCGGGTTAGGGTGTGCTCGCCCGGCTCCGGGACCTCCAAAGAACGGCGCAGGATGAAACACTCGCCCTTTGGGGGTCGGGATTTGCGGGCATGGAACAACAAAAAGTACAGACCAGTCGGGTGTTCCGGTCTCCTCCTCGTATATACCACGTTTGGCGAGTCCCTCCTTGCGGTTCCTCTTTTTCACCCTCGTCTCTGTAGGGTCTTTTTCTCTGCTTGGCGCGCGCCCTTACGACAAAACGCCCAGCCCCTCTCTCTTTTTCCATCTCTCGTTTGGCAGGGTATCGCAAAAGCAGGGCGAGGACTAGGGGGGAAGATAAGAAGGAGGAAGGGGAGGAGCGGGAGGAGGATGAGGAGGAGGAGAGAGGAGCAGGAATGGGATGAGGAGTATCAGGAGGACAACATATAAATGTGATGGTGGGGGTGAGGATGATGAGGATGCTGATGGCAGGATATGTGGGAACATCAGACACAGTAGGAGAGGTGCAGAAGGATGAGGAGTAAGAGAAGCAGCAGAGGAGTATGAACCATGCGGACAGATCATGTCCACGACGATTGCCGCGAAAACATTCTTGAAAACCTCGACAACGACGACGGCGACGAGGGCTCTGAATGATGATGATCCTGCTGAGGATGATAATAGCGATGATACTGCTGATGGTGATGCTGATGCTGATGCTGATACTGTTACTGGTGATGATGATGACGATGATGATGATGATGATGATGATGATGATGAAGATGATGATGATGGCGGTGGCGATGATGATGATGATGATGATGATGATGCTGATGATGATGATGATGATGATGATGATGATGGCGGTGGCGATACCAGTGAAGAAGACGCAGCTGTTGCTGCTGACACTGGCGATGACGATGACGACGACGATTACGATGATCTTTGTGATGATGATATTGCTGCTGATCATGATGGTGATGCTAGTGTTGATGATGATGGTGGTGGTGACGCCAATGTTGCTGATGATGATACTGATGACGGTGATGAGGATGATGGGGACTGTGATGATGATAGAGGGGAGGAGGAGGAGGAGGAGGAGCAGGGGGCGGAGGAGGGGTTTTGATGATGATGATAGTACTGATGATGATGTTGATGATGATGGTGATGATGACGGTGATGATGATGGTGATGATGGTGATGATGATGATGATGATGATGATGATGATGATGATGATGATGATGATGATGATGATGATTATGATGCAGTTGTTGTTGTTGTTGATGATGATGATTATGATGATGACGACGACGATGATGAGGGTGGTCATGGTCATGATAATGGTGTCGGTGGTTGTGATGATGCTGATGTTGCCCATTCTGGTGATCCGGGGAGTAGGAGGAGGAGAGGGGAGGAGTTGCATCAGTGTGGAGGAAAAGGACGACGACGGCGCCACTCGAGGAGGAGGAGGCGGAGGCGCGGGACCGCCCACGCTGGCGCCCGAGGAGTCATCTCGGAGGAGATGCATCGACAGCACGTGGGCAACCAGGGGGCAGGAACTCCCCCAGCCAGACCGAGGAGGGGGCTTGCCAGGGTCGGTTCGGGATTTCCCCCTCCAGGAGAAACCTTCGCCAAGCCTAGGTCCAAGGGCGCCCTCGAGGGCGCCGAGTTGTTCGCGCTTCGCGCTTCGCGGTTCGGCTCCGATTCCTCCTCACCCTCCTCTTCTCCCCTGGGAGGCGGCGCGAGGGCGCGAAGTTTTTCGCACTTCGCGCTTCGCGCAGCGCGAAGCGCGAAGTTGGGAGCCCTTGAGATCGGGCCCACCCCAGTCGAAGAAGAACACAGTTCAAGCATACACTGTCGAAAGTCCGTGCGGGTTCTGAGATCTGTGCTGGCCCTCTCTGGCGGCGCCTCCAGCGCGTGAGGGAGTGTCCACCGCCAATCCAACAACATCCGCGCGGGCTTTCAACGGTTTATGTTTATGCAGCTTGTATGGTGCTCTTATATCCTTGGTTTGGTTAGTGATGTCCCTCCTTCAGAGGAGGAAAAGGTACCCATACCTCTAACCCTTCCCCGTTTTCCCCTTTTTGGGGTTTCCTCGGCGGCCCTCGTCGCCACCGCTGGATTCGCCTCGAAATTTTGGTCGGAGCGCACCCCAGGAGAGGTCCGGGGAGTGGCAGAGTCGGTACCTTTCGGCTTCCGAGCCTCTGTGAAGGCAAGTACGGCGAGGAGGATATTCAGGTCGTCGAGCGGGGAGACGGGCCCACGGGCGTGTACGCCGTCAAGGCCACCATGCGGCTGCGCGCGCCCCCCAGTGGGGCCCGTCGATCGGGGGGGGCTCTGGTCGTGGAGTCTTGGCTCCGTCGGCCGATCGCCCCAGATGTTCGGCGATGTGATTCTCAGCTAAGCTCGCAGAGGCTACAGGTTTTTATGTAGAGGAGGTGGTGGAGGGCAGGAGCAAGGATTCCGTAGAGGAGGGTCAGGGTGAAGGCAAGGACGAGGTCGAGGAGGGTGAGGAGGGCAGGGCGAGAGCTGTGGAGGTGGTGGAGGAGTTGGCGGTGGTGGAGGGGGGTTCTGCTCCAGGTGACGCTGTCTTCTAAGAAGACCAGCGTGGGCTTCACTGTGAGTCCAGCCCAGTGGCTGAGACTCAAGTTTCACTATGTCGTACTGCTCTTCTGGAGCCGTGGCATGCTCATCAATGTTTTGCATGTTTGTTTGACTTGTGGCGTTTGTCGTCGGCGTCGGCCTCTGGGGCCAGTTCTGCGACCCCGAGACCATCAACCATGAGTCTTGGGCGCAAGCTGCCCTCAGGGAGGGGGGTCGTACATGGAACACCTCCTCTCCTCAGATGTCCGGGAGCCAGGGTGTCTGGATCAGCGGAGCGCCCTCCGCGCGGGAGGAGGCGCCGGAGCGGAGCCAGGGCGAGGGCGCAGGCATGTTTCGGTTGGAGGTCCGCCAAGATCTCCTTGGGGTCGGCGCCGGGCCTCCCCTCCCCAGCATCCCGGCGGCGCCTCGGGCGCCTCCCCTGGCGCGCGCCGCGCTCCGCCAAACAAGGGGGCCCCGCGCGGGCTCCTCCGCGCGGGCCTCCAGGAGTCGATCCTGATGCCGTCCTCCTCCTCCTCCTCCTCCTCCTCCTCCTCCTCCTCCTCCTCCTCCCCCTCCCCTTCCCCTTCCTCGCCATCGTCTTCTGCCACGGGCGCGTGCGATTTAATTGCCGCGCTCGGACGCACGATTGTAACATCGCGCGCGCCTGTGGCGCTTGTTCGTTGGCAGTGGTGCTCTTTCGGCGCCCGTGTGGCAGACGAGCGCCTGTGCCATCGGGGCGTTGGGGTGCTCACGCACCCGTGATTCCCGCGGTCCCTCGGGGTGTTCCCAGGCACTGTGGCATGACCCTCCCGCCCTGGTCTCGGGGGCCCCATAAACAGTGTGTTGACCACACCGCCTGGTGAGTCGGGGACGTGGGTCGACCTCTGAGGATGCCTCGGGCGACTGGGGCCTGAACATGCGGTGAGGAACCGTCCGGCGAGGTTTCTTCGGATTTCGAGGTCACCGCACGGTCTGTTACCACACCGTTTAGTGAACCCCAATGGTCACGCAATTCATGCGGACGATTCAAATCATGGGGCGCTCCCAAGGCGCGCCCGCGTACGACATTTTCAAGCGGCTGTGCGACCCGGAGGAGCTCCCCTCCCAATCCCTCGCTCCCTCTTCTCCCCTGCCTTCTTCCATCCCTCTCCCCTCCGTGGGGGGAAGGTGGGGCGCGTCGGCCCATCCACCTTGACCCTGGTCAACATCAAGTAAGGGCCCCGGCGAACCGTCGAGCGAAGAGGCAGACGAGGCAGAGAAGAGTACGAAGAGGGGAGACGGTAACATGTTGCGGAGGTGCGAGGCTCAGGTGGAGGCATCGCGGGCCCTGAGTCATCGACATGCCTTGAGCTCCGAGGTCAGCCCGCGAGGAGGGGGAGAGGGGAGGGGGAAAGAGCGGGTGGACTGGTGGCTTGTGAGGGGGATGGCTGGAGGGAGGGGAGGAGGAGGAGTCGGGGACAGGCTGCGCGGCGGCGAGCGCGCCTCTCGGCGCCGCGGATCTGCGCCCGCGCGGCGCGGCGCCCCGCGCCGCGGCCGCCGCGTGCGCTGGCGGCGCCCGCTCGCGGGCCCCACGCCGCGGCTGCCTCGCCGCCGCCAGCCGCTGCCGTGGGCCACGGCGCCGGCAGCGTGGGCGCGCCGCGGCCGGCCCTGCCGAGGGCCCTCTGCGCCGCCGCGCTGCGCCGCTGGCCAGGCCAGCGTGAGGCGCCTGCGCGGCCGCCCGCTCGGGCGCGGGCAGTGCTCGCCCGTGGCCGCGCCGCGCGATGGGCCGCGCCAGCCGCACACGCGGGCCGCTCGCGTTCGCGTCGCCCCGTCGCCGCTTGTCCACCTCGGGCTTCGGCGCGAGCTGCACGGGGCCGCCGACGTGCTCGTGAGTGACCGGGTGCGTCTTGGCGCTCGTGGCACCAGGCTTCGCCGAGGACCTCTCCGCGAGCAGCACGGCTGGGCCCCCAGCTGCGCGCGCGCCGCACGCGCTGCAGAAGGCCACGTTGCCCGCGACCACGAGCACGTGGCTGGGATGGGCCTCCTCCGCCGCCACTGGTTGGCCTCTGCGCAGGCCGCTCCCGAGATCCTCCTTGATCTCGGCCCGCGCGCCGCACCTGTCGCAGCCGTATAGGCCAGCGATGCCGAGCTGCCCAGCCACGGGTCGCGGTGGCGCAGCGGGGCCGTCATGAGCTCCGCGGGCCGCACACCGTCGGGCATGCGGAGCTGTGGCCCCGTCTCGCGCCAGAGCCTGGGCGCCGCGTGCCTGCCCGGGCCGCCCTGCACCTCGAAGTCCCTGCCGCCGAGCGGGCTGCCCGCGGCCCTCTCGGCCGCCTCGCCTCGTCCGCCCTCGGCCTCTCGTCAGCTCCGCGCCTGGACCTGCCGCCTCCGACGAGGAGCTGGCGGCGGCGCGGCACCGCCTCAGGCCGAGGGGCCTTGGCCAGCGGAGCGTCGCTGCGGCCCGGGCCACCTCCGGCATCGGCCCGCTGTCGGGGGCGCTCCCGAGCCGCTGCGGCTGCCCAGCGCTCGCCGTCGCCCTCGCGCGTGTGCAGCCGCTGGCTCGCTGGCGTAGCGCGTTGGGGGCCGCCATGCTTCCTCTCGGGCCTCTGGCAGCCGCGGGGAGGAGGAGGAGGAGGAGGAGGAGGAGGAGGAGGAGGAGGAGGAGGAGGAGGAGGAGGAGGAGGAAGAGGAGGAGGAGGAGAGGGGAGGAGGGGGAGGAGGAGGAGGAGGAGGGAGGAGGAGGAGGAGAGGAGGAGGAGAGGAGGAGGAGGAGGAAGATGAGGAGGAGGAGGAAGGAGACGAAGGATGAGGGGAGGAGGAGGGGGAGGAGGCGGAGAAAGAGGATGAGGAGGGAGAGGAGGAGGATCGGAGACGAAGAAGGATCAGGAGGTCAACAGTTGTTCGTCCACACAGCCTCCTACGTCTCCTTCCATCCACTGCCTTCCACTGGTTGCAGGGCGTTCGTCAAGAACAGGTACCCTTCTCCTGCCCTTTTCCTCATCCACCTCCTTCCTTTCCTCCCTCTCCTATCCCTTCCTCTCTTCCTCCTCCTGTCTCTTGTCTCTGCCGACTCTTCCTTTACTTCCCTCCTTCGCTTCATTACCTTCTTTATGCGCCCCTTTCTTTTCCCTCTCTTCGTCCTCCCCTTCCTGCTCCTCTTCTGATACTGCTTCACCGTCCCCCTTTTCTATGTTCCCCCCCTTCCTTCCTCGTTTAGTACGCCTGTCCTTCAGGCTTTCTTATCCCGTCGAATTCGAACATGACTCGATCCTTGGCTCGAGTCTCGAAGTGTGGGCGAGACAAAACGGATTGAGGTCAGATGATGAGATGACCACACAGTCGACCCGCATGGTAAGGATGGGCATCCTTCCCAAGGGTACCTTTGCATCCGTGTCTCCTCTGTCGATTCTTGGCCACTTTCGTTGGCCGTGCCCCGCTCGAAAAGTGTCGACATGGCCTTCCAAGGTCCTTGCATCTTTACCGCGCGTTATTAATATACGGGTTGACTGTAGTCTTTCTTGTCCCCCTTCGCCTCCATGTCGTCAGCTCTGCTTTCTGCTCACCAGCTGAGCGTTCCGCACGCCGGTTGCACGAGGAGAACAAGCGGATTTTCGATCGCACCACGGCTTCGGTCAATTGCCGCGACTTGCTCACGGAAAGCAAGGAGGACGTCGACTAGACGTAAGAGGGACCCTTCGCCAGAGTGACCTTTGGTGCGGGCTCGTTGGGGCCCCCCGATCGCCGAACGCGATGCGACAGTAGCGTCTTGCCCGGCCCCCCGCGGCCCCCAAAACTCAGAGGAGGAAAAGGTACTCATACCTCTACCCCCTTCTTTTTGGGCCTCCCGGGAGGCCCTCGTCGCCACCGCTAGAGTCGCCTCGAAATTCTGGTCAGAACGCACCCCGGGATAGGTCCGGGGAGTCGCGGTATCGGTACCTTCTAGATTTCCCCCGAACCGCCGCGCACCAAAGGTCTTCCTTGCCCAGGGTCACTAATTGCGTGTAGCCGAGGACGGCACACGCGTGTTCGAGGTCAGCAAGACGGGCCGATGGAAGATCATGGGCATCCCGGTCACGTTTGAGTCCACCGTCCTCGCCGTGGAGGACTGGAAGAGCCTCGAGATCCGCTACAGGCTGAAGAACCCGGGCGCCATGAGGCACTTCTCGGGCTTCTGGAGGCTCTTCCCGGTCGGCCGCAACGAGGCGCTGGTGCTGGTCTACCAGGAGGCCGTGCCCGCCTTCCCCATGCCGAGCTTCTTCCGCTCCTTCATCGAGAAGGTCGTCAAGACGGTGTGCGGCTCCCTGCTGGCGGACCTCGCGGGGCGGGCACGGGGAAGCAGCCGCAGCCACGGCCTCGCGGCCTGGGCCGCGCGGCCGCGGCCCCGGGGGCACCAGGGGCGGCTCTGCGCGGGTGCCCCGCACGGAGCCTGTCCATGGAGGGCGCGTGTCCAGGCGATTGTGCCTCGGTGCGCGCGCGGGCCGCGAGGGCGTGGCTGTGTGGCTATGCGCGTGGCTTCCGAGGACCTCCGCGACAGCTCCCTCACCTGGGACGAGCGGCCGGTGCCCAACAGCTCGCCCCCCTGATCGCGAGAAGCAGCGACCCAGCGGCGCGTTGGCTCGTGGTGCGCTGACCTGCACCACTACGGGGAGGGAGGACGGGAAGAAGAGGATGAGTAGGAGGGGGAGCAGGAGGGAGAGGAGGAGGAGGAGGAGGAGGAGGAAGAGTAGGAGGAGGAGGAGGAGGCGGAGGCGGAGGTGGAGACGGAGGAGTAGGAGGATCAGAAGGAGGAGGAGGATGAGGTGGAGGGTGAGTATCCCAGAATGTGCCTGGATGCGGAGTAGGAGGAGGAGGAGGAGGAGGAGGACGAGGAGGAGGAGGAGCAGGAGGAGGTGCAAGAGTTGTTTTCTTATATATGTACACATAAATTAGTAGTAATAGTAGTATTAGTAGTCGTACTATTATAATTAATCAGGTTAATTGAGTTCCACTGCTTCATTTTCACAGTTCTAGATGGTTCTAGGAGGTCCTAGCGGGGGGTGAGTTGGCCTGGGAGCGAGGTGGAGGTGGTGGATGAGGAGGAGGAGGGAAGGGTGGAAAGACGTTGTTTTCTCTACCTGGCGTCAGGTTGGAAGCTGCAATGGTCTAGGAGCCGTTTTGTTGCTCCCGTCAGCGCAACGCACGGTCAATTCGAACGGCGTCCTCCAGATGATAAGAGGTGAGCCTAATGCCCAGTATTCTTTCGCGAGGAGCGGTATGCATGGCCACGGCCTGGCTTCTAGCTTCTAGGTTAACCTTGCCAGGCGTGAGGTGCTTCGGCTCGAGGTCCGCTGCGGCCCCCGGCCTGAATTATCCCCATCGCTTCGTCGATTCTCTGCCTCCCCCGTCTCCACGTGGATGGATCGACCCGTTATCCGCCCCATCGCCTGGCCGACATCGGGGCTAGAGTTAAATTTGGTGGTTGCCCTGCAGGTGTGCCGAACAACATACACACACGAGAACTGACATATCCCGTAAGGTTTGTCAGAGGTGTGTGTGTGTGTGTGTGTGTGTGTGTGTTTGTGTGTGGTTGTGTGTGTCCGACTCTTCCGCCATTCCTTCCTCACGATACCTCCACAGCAAAGTTGCCTCAGAAACGTGACTTCACTTCGGTAATCGACGGCCTTACGAGGCGGGAGCCTCTGGCCTTGGGCACCAGGGCGCGCAGGGATTCCGTGAATTCCGACAATCAAGGCCTTTGGGGTTTGCTAAGGCTACCCAGTTGGGCAAACGGGGTGGTCGTGGGTGAGCGTTGTAAGTCGGACCAGCTGTATGACATGGCCGAGTCTCACGATCCTTGCTTCCTTATCGAGCGTCTCCGACGGCGTGTTCCCCTTCTGTGTATCTTATGGGCGCGGGCCGAAACTGCGATCGATTGTAATCGCATGCGGGATGTTGTGCTCGGCGTTGTGGATGAACGCGCCGACCTTGGACGTTGAGAACAGTTTAGAATATTCGTCTGCGCACGCACGTGTATATTTTCTTATATACAGATGCATGTATTTATTTGTACATAATTGTACGAGACTGCAGTGGCGCTTCGCGCCATGCACCTTGGTCCTCGAAGTTTGGCATGCAGGCGGAATGGCGCAGGAATGTCAAACGGACAATCTAGCGATAACTCCTTGTTGCCTTTTCCGGCATTGCCGTCATCATAATGGTATTCGGTATCATTCCTCTATGTTTCCTTTTCCTCATTCTCGCCCTACCCTGCGAATTTTTCCCCATCCTCCTCAGCTCTTGGAGGCTCCTTGTAGAGCCCCTGGGGGCCTCACGAAAGTTGTTCAGGCTTCTTAAGGTTTTCTGGAGGTTTTTTGGGGCGTCTTCTGGGGGCCTCTGGGTGCTTCCTCGGGCCACCCTGCCTCCAACCGCGGTCTCCCTGAACGACCGGGTCACGATTTGGAATGCTTCGGAGGGTGTCTTGGGGCCATTTTGGGCCGTCATGGGGCTTTCTTAGGCCATCTTGGGCCCTTTTTGTGCCCTCTTGGGGCTCTCTTGGACTGCCTGGAAGCCTTGTCGGATGGTTTCGGGGCGGTTTTCGAGCCTCCCAGGCGGTCTCGGGCGCCCAGAAGACCGAAGAACAGGGCATTCCCTAAATCAATGTTGTCCTGCGTTTTGGAAGCCTCTTGGGGGTCTGTCTTCTTTGGGTCGTCTTCGGGCGTCTGGTGAGTTTCTGGGGCCTCTTGGGTTCGGCCGCCCTCCTGACCGATTTGGGCCCGCTGCCTAGGCCCAGCAGGGGCTTCCCGGAGCTCTGAAACGCCTGGGGGGCATCCTGCAGGGGCGTCCAGGGTGTCCCCGGGGCCACGGATCCAGGGGGGTCCAGAGGGCCCCGGGGGCCTGTGATTCGGAAGGTCCGATTTCGGGTGGGGGGGTCCTGTGTAATAGAAATATACGCATGGGAATCGTTGGTTATACGTGCATATGCCTCCGAGGGGTCCGATATATATATATATATATATATCTATATATATATATACATATACATATATATGTGTGTGTATATGTATATGTATATATATACACTCTATATACATATATGTATGTATGTATGTATGTATGTATGTATGTATGTATGTATGTATGTATGTATGTATGTATGTATGTATGTATGTATGTATGTATATAAATATAGATGTATATACATATATATATATATATGTATATATAAATATATATACATACACATGCATACCTGTGTATGTATATATGTGTAACTGGGCACATGTACACATGCATTTCCTCTAAGACTTTACCGACACGTCGGTGTCCCACACTTCCGGCTCCGCTCCACCACCGTCTTGTCTTGTTTTCGAGACCTCTTCGCAGGGCGTCTCCCGCAGGCCTTCGGGAGGAGTTTCTCCCCGTGGCTCGCCGATCTTCTGCCTTTTTCACAACCCATACATCCGACGTCCCGATTTTGTCGAGACGCGGGCCCCCGACCTCCCGACCATTTCCCCAGGACCAGTTCTTCATCTCGAGTCGTTCTTTGCCGGTCCCGAGGCCCGGCCAGGGCCCCGAGAGGCCAAAAACTGAGAAAAACCTCCGTCTCGATTTTTTCGAGACGCCCGATGTCTGGGAAGGTTGGTCTCCCACGTAGCGGTTGACAAGCCTGGGGGCATCTTCTTCGTCCGGAATGGTATCTCGGCGGCGTGCCGAGGGGGGAAGTGCGAGGGCCCTGGGCCCGCTTCGCCGTGGTCGTCGTCGGGTCGTCGTCGATTCGTCGTCAGCGTCGTCGTCGTCGTCGTCGTCGTCGATTCTCGTCGTCGTCGTCGTCGATGCGTCGTCGTTGTCGTCGTCGATTCGTCGTCGTCGCCGTCGCCGTCGCCGTCGTCGTCGGGCAGCTTTTCTCAGAAGGCGGCGGGGCTTCTCAGAAGCCCTCGGGTCCTTCGAGGGGCTTCAAGCTTTCAAGAAGGCCAGAAGGGGGCCTGCCGAGCCCTCTGGTCGGGCCCGCCCCCGCTGCCTTCCCCCTCCGAGCGCGCCGCCGACTCCTAGGCCTTCCGGAGTGTCTCTCTCACAGGCCACACGGGATATGTTCCACCCTGGCTGGTTTTCCACGCGAACTTTCACGGCTTGCAGCTTGCCCGCGCCGCCCAAAAGCGTGTGATCCTCGGGTCACGGGTTCGGTGCCCACGCGACGTCCCTCCTCCGTTGCCCGGTTCCCCCGTGCGCCCTGCCCTCCCCGTCGTGGCACAAAGAGTTGGACGGATCCATGGCTTACCTTTCTTCCTCATGAGCCCCCATCTCGGTGCCCCTCCAGGCCATTCCTGTCACGGACGCCAGCGCGAAGTGGATCCCGTTTCTGGCTTCCCTCTTGTTTCTTCCCCCTTCTTCCTCCAGTGGCCATCGAGGCTCAAGTTGCCTGAGCGGCAACGTGCGGATTTGTCGCGCAGTGGAAATATCCTCAGTCTTCCCCTTCGATTTCGCTCCCACTGATCCAGCTTTCTGGCGTGCTCCGCCCTTTGGTTGTGCGCCAGGCTACGCCCTGCGACGGCATCGGGCCGCCACCGCCGGCGCTGGACCGAGCGCGCTTCCTCGCACTGGCCGCCCAGGCGTGGGAGGCGACATTGAGCACAGCCTACACGAAGAAGTGCAGCATTGCTGGACATTCGAGGTACGCGCCTACATGTACAAATACGCCATTGCTGAGCTTCCGTGGCCTGCGTGCATGTGCGCCGACCGCCTGCGTCCAGCGCAGCTGGCGCAAGACCACTACCCGACGGCCATCACCACCACCACCGGCCCGCGCTGAGGGAATTGATGTGCCCCGTGGCTGCACGTAGTGCGGTTGCGCAGCCTGTGTGCACATACGCCGACCGCCCGCGCCCGGCACAGCTGTCACAACACCACCACCAGACGGGCCTCACCACCACCGTCGGCCCGCGTCCCCATGCACCTCCGCTCGGTCCGACCAGCGCGCTGCGCGCCGCTCACGAGGCGGGTGTCCTCCGAGGCCTCGTTGTGCTTCTCCGCCGGCAGCGGACGCGCACGGAGACTGACGCCGCTTCGGAAGCGGGTAATTACTCGTGACGTGACCGTCCAGCGAGCCCTGTCTACGGCCCCACCCAGGATGCTGGCCCTCCACGGGCGCCAGTCCCTGGTCCTGGCGCACGGATCCCGAGCGGCGTCGACCGAGGTACGCCTGCCTCCGCTGCCGTTCCGCCACAGAGCGTTTCAGACAGTGGCAAGTTGTCAGTCATCATGAGCCAGATGACGACGAAGACAGACGTCGCACAGATGGCTCCGACAAAGTACGCAAACCAGATGCACCTCCAGGGGAAGCAGGCTGCAGAGGACACGAGGCCCGTGCACGGCGCTCCCGCCGCATGACCAGCGCCCCGACCAGCGCAGCGGCGACGACGTTGCGCAGCTGGGCTGCTCCCGAGCAGCGGCTGCGTGCGAAGCCGCAGTTCCTCAGGAGGGGAAAAAAAACACACAGACACAATTAATCGGCGATTCCCAGAAAATATGGGAAAATATGGGATGTGGGGGGGAAGACAGAAACCCAGAAAATATGGGAAAATATGGGGGATAGTTTTATTTGTGTGTATTTATTTGTGTGTCCTAATTTCCCTTTAGTTCCCTGCGTTCTGCCTCCCGGGCTCGGCGGCGCCCCCGCGGCAGCGG